CTAGACCCTTCATCAGAAGGGTCTAGGCCCGAAACGTCAGCCTTTCTGCTCCTCTGATGCTGCTTGGCCTGCTGTGTTCATCCAGCTCTGCACCTTGTTGTCTCAGATTCTCCAGCATCTGCAGATCCTACTATCTCAGACTCAACCTAATTGTGTCAGTGAGCCCCACATATCTACATCCCCTCCCTGGTAGCCCATCCCATTAACCCCACAGGCTTCCCCAAGTCCCACCAATCCTGCTTACCTTGATCTACACCCACCCACTCTTCCCACAAAGACCCTGGTATATGAGGTGACCTTGCCTGGTGTGGCCATTCACTGATCCTCTCCTCCTCCCTCTGTGCCCCTTTTGAAGCCAGAGTGCTCCTGAGTGTGGATGACCCACTATCTCCCTCCTGTATTATACCCTTCTCCAGCAATGTTTCATTATATCTCCAGCTTGCAAATCCACCTGACCCTTCACAATTATATTGTGCCCTTACCCAGCCCTTATCCCAAAAATGAGGCTCAGAACCATGGCTAAGGCTGCATTTGCCAAGACCCAGCCCCAGCCCCAGCCCAGCTCCAATTCCCTGATTTTCTATGAACACACTACCCAGCAGACTGACCATGGCCTTCAGGCAAGATATGCTCAGACCCCCGATTGATGCTGATACATCCCAGCATCCTACTGCCCAGTCTTGATGCTATGGAGCCAATAGACTAACTTTGGCCCACTTCCTGCACCTTAACTGAGAACCCAATGGCTGGATGTCTGACCGTGGCCAATCCTCAGGATTGTAGGCTGTCCTTGACTTAGTGTACCTAACTGATAGGTGCTTCCATGGGCTTTAGTGTGGACTACTCCCCTAAGTCTTTGAAAGATGATTACTTCTTGCTGCAAAACTGGTGTGTTTACCACGTAATCTGCTGGTATATGAAGTAGGTGTGAGATTGACATAGCACAGCAGGATGTATACCCCCCTTAAGTGAGCATTGCATGGGCAAGACAAGCTGCATGTTTGCGTGACTGCACTAATCGGGACAACGAGCTAAAGTAAGGCAAGGCAGGAATGCAGATAGGTGCTAAGTGAGCAAGTGCTAAGAAAGCAAGAGAACATCCCTGATGTGCAGCCTGGTCCAATTCCTAAGCTGGATCCCAAACTGTTCCTGTGTGCAAAATATCCCTGCTGCAGCCTTTCAAAGCTAGTTGCTGGTGTGCCCTGTAATACAAGGCTGTGCTTAGAGGGCACACTGTCAGAACATAGTAGAAGTGCCAGGATGATTGTTATGGGTTGCCAGATGCCAATATCCATGGAGGAGGAGTGTGTAAGGTAAATACTCATTGATCTTGCCTGGTCTGTTGTTTGATTGCATACAACACAGTGGCACTTTGGAGAAAGGAACAAGCTGATTCTGCTAGATACAATCTTTGGCTTCCTTGTTGAGTTTTCTCAACATCCAGTTTGTTTGGCAAATTAAAATTTGAAAATTAATGAGATAAATTGTGGCATTAACATGGCATTTAACAAACAATAATGCGTATTAACTGGCATCTTGCTGCTGCCTAGTGAGAATCTTCCCATGTCGCTTGTGAAAACCATTAAAAGTACGGAAAAATGATCTTGATGCTGATTTGGGCCTCTCTGCACTTGTTGTCGAATTCTGCTACATATCTCACCATAGCCCACCTCGCTCAGATCACTATGCGATTCTGATCATTGTCGTTCCTACCTTTAAAAAAGTCTTGATGACCTCATTAAAGTTTGAATAAATATAGTACAGCTTTTAAATGATGTGTATTAAAGAAAGTCCCTAACTCAAAAGATGTCCCTAAATTTGCCTAAAGTAGTTTCACTGGTGTAGAAATTCTACATTGCAAAAATATCCACACACATTCCTTTTTAGAGCAATGTTGGGGATAATTTGATGCAACAGGAAATGTTGTCTAACTTTATGAAATTCTACACAAGACAGGCTGGGTAATTTGTTGCTACATAATTTATTGCCATGAAATTAAAAGGATCTAATTTGTGTTGACAATTTTCTATATGCCAAATTTTACAACAGCTGTCAAGAGGCACTAAACTGAAACCAGGCACTTCCCCATGTTGGAGGGAGAGCAGCCCCAGGTTATTGGTACTTGTCTCCTAACAACTGGATTTTAAAGTGAATTGAACTACCTATTACCATCTGAAGGAGTCACGAATGATATAAAGAGATCAAGAATGGGAAAAGGGAGCAAGAAACAAACGCCTTTAAAAACAATTTCACCCTATAAGCTGAAGTACATGTAACCCGTCATGTTGCTGTATACCATTGTGTACTTGACATGACTTGAACAAAAACTCTTGTTAATAATTGCCTGGTGTCCTGTTGATAAGCCATTTATATATTTGGAAATTCTCAGTTACATTAGAATATATTTCAAATACTACGTAAGTCTCAAATCTATTTTAAACTATTTCACTTAAATAAAAATTTGATTAGCCACAAACTTAGAGATTTTTTCCCCCTATGAAATGTCTATTACAAGCTCACCTGTAAAAAAACACATATACACCAAATTTGATCTTTTTTCTTGAAATTATTTAAATCTTGATTACATCATAAAAGTTATCATTATTGAATGTAAAGGAAGAAAATAACAATACTCAATTTACAGTCTACTCTTAATTCAAAGCAATTTAACATCTCAAATTATGTACAAATTAAAGAGTGAAAATGCTCATCATCTCTAGCATAGTGAGCTTATAGCAAATCTAAAAGCCATTTTATCCCAGGTGTTTTTCATTGACTGAATTTTTCACACTAAATTCCCACTTTGCAGTTTTACTTATATTGTCCAATTTATTAGACAACTCAAGTTTTTAATGCATAAACTTCAAAATATCAAAAGGTTCTAAAGAAGAATAGTAATGTTCTAACAATAATAAATTAATAACATGCATGTAATAGTCAAATGCAAAGTTAATATTAAACAAAGTCCAGTAACAACAGAGGTGAGGTCTATATTGTAAATCTTGATAAAGAGTAAAGTAAGGAAACCCATGATAGGTTGAACTCAATGTTGCAGACTTGCAGGATAAGGAATTGGGTCCTGTTCAACATTTTTAAAGGGCTCCCAATGCAATCAGACTCAGTGAAAATCTGTCCAAGAGTTTTCAAATCAATCCAGGGCCTTAAATCATCCTATCTCTATAATCATTTCCAATCCCACAAGCCTTCAGGTTTTCAGTCTAACACAGTGTGGAGCTGGAGGAACACAGCAGGTAACGTAACATCAGAGGAGTAGGAAAGTTGATGTTTTGCATCAGGACCCTTCTTCAGAACTGAAACATCAGCTTTCCTTACTCCCCTGATGCTACCTGGCCTGCTGTGTTCCTCCAGCATCTGCAGTTCTGGCTGTATTCAGGTTTTCTGTGCTCTTTTAATTCTGGCTGTTAGTGCATTAGCAACTATATTTGCTTCACAGTTGGTGGACATGCTTTCAGTTGCCTAGACTCCAGGCTGTGGAATTCTCTCCCTGCATCTCTCCACCTCTCTACCAGGCCTTCCACTGTTAACACAATCCTTAATATCTTGACCAAGATTTTGGTCATCTGACCTGATATCTCCTGTAGCTTGGTATCATACTTTATTTTATAATGCTCCTGTTAAACACCTTGGGACATTTCTCTGTGCTAAAGGCACTATAAACATGTAAATTGTTATTTTCTTTTCATGATACACCCAAGAAACCTTCCACACATGCCATGATCATGTTTGTAACTCTCCAACAAGCTAGTATTCATGGGTAGATAGAGAGAGAGAGAGAAAGTTAGTTATTTCGGTGTTATTCGTCAGTTCTATTTTACTCAGCTAAGTGTGGAACGGCATTCATAATTTTTCTTTGTTAAATAGCATGTTTTGATGAAAGATCTTTTACTCAAACTTTAATATATTTTTCTTTCTTCTGCTGGTGAACATATTGTGCAAGTTTGGCATCTAAAAATATATGACCGAGGAAGATTGAAACAGACTTACAAAAGCACCATTGGGAACTGGAGTCAGATCACCTCCTGGGGCAAGTTGTTCACCAACACCACCACAGCCCACGGGTGTATATCCACCATTTGGCCACCAGGAATCACATGCCCCACCAGTAGACTGTCAGCAAGAAGAAGTATGATGAATAAGTTGCAAATTAAATACTTTATGAAGCCAATATACATTTTATAAAGCATTTGAACTCCCTTTTTCACGGTCTTAATCAACAGCCATCCTCCCCAACCCCCACAATTTTACCGAATAGTGCAGCATTCTTGAACAGCAGCAGTCCATCTGCCACAAGTACACCCATAACACTATTTGGGAAAAAGTGTCAGGATAGCGCAACATTGGCTCAGAGGGGAACTTTCAGTATTAAAGTGCAACTGTAGCCTTTGTCATTCTAGATGGTAGAGGTCACAGGTCTATAAATTGCTGTCAAAAAGGACTTTTTGAATTACTGTGCACCTTGTAACTGGAGGACAAATCTTCTGAACTACAGCCAGAATGTCAGGTCCCATATCCTTCACTGTACTAAATGTACTAAAATGAAACATCTGAAAACTGGCATGTGATGCTGGGGACCTCAGGAAGAGGTGAAGATGGATCATCCACTTGGCGCTTCTGGCTGGGGATGGTAGTAAATGCTTCAGACTTATCTTTTGCACCAACCTGCAGAGCTCCCCCATCACACTGAGCATGGGGATGTTTGAGGAGTCACCTTCTCCTGTTAGTTGTTTAATTGTCCACTGCCATTCACAATTGTCTGTGGTAGGATGGCAGCCTTTGACTTAATCAGTTGGTAAGTAGGACCACTTAGCTCCAACCACTGCTGCTTCCATTGTTTGTGTCGTAACTTCACCTGGTTGGCATCTAATTTTTAGGTATGCCTGGTGTTGCTCTGGGCATGCTCTTCTACACTCTTCATTGAACCAGGGCTGATTCCTGGCTTGATAGTAATAGTACAGTGGTGGATATTCCCTGCCATGACATTACAGATTGTGACTGAATGCAATTCTGCTGCTGCTGATGACCCATGACATGAATTCCTATCTTGAGTTGCTAGATCTATTCAAAATCTATCCCATTTAGCATGATGGTAGTGCCACACAGCACAATGGTTGCTTCAGTATGAAGACACAACTTCATCTTGACAAGTCCTAGGTGGTGGTCACTCCTACCAATACCATCATGGGCAGATGCATCTGCAACAGGTTGAATGACCAGAATGACATCAGGTACATTTTTTGCTCTTGTTAGTGCTCTCAGGACCTGCTGAGGTCCAGTCTCATAGGTTACAGCTTCAGCACTTCAACAGCTTGATGCCTATCGGGTTCTACCGAGTCAACCCAGGGAATGGACATTAAAGTCTCCCACCCAGAGTACACCCCTGTGCTAATGTCACTCTCTGTGTTTCTTCCAATTTGTGTTAAACATGGAGATGTCCTGATTCATCAGCATGGAAGTATTAATCAGCAGGAGGTGTTGTGTCCATGTTTAACTCAATGTCATGAGACATCATGAGGTTCAGAATCAATAATGAGGATTGCCAGTATACACCACTGTGTCACTACCTCTGTGGGGGTTTGTACCAGCAGTGAGATTGCACATAGCCAGAGATGGTAATGGAGCACTCTGGAACATTGGCTATAAGGTATGATTAGGAAAATGACTATATCAGTATGTTGGCTTGACTCATCTTTTCAACAACTCTCCTAAATTTGCTACAATTCCTTAGATATTGCTGAGGAGGATTTTTCAGGGTTTTATTCTTTTTTGCATTTTTGGTAGTGGTTTGGGACAGTGGAGTTTAAGAGTTGACAGTTGTTGTGGATCTTTGAATCATATGTAGGCCAGACAAGCTAATTCAGCAGATTTTCTTGGCTAAAGGGCAATTCACATCAATCTGGTTGTTCCAGGTTAATGATTGAATTTAATGTTATCAGCTACTCTGGGAGCATTTGATCTTGTGCTGCCAGACAATTAATCAACACTTCTGAATGACTGCTCCTGTAACAATAACACTACGCCTGTCAATGACACAAACTGTTTCTAACAGTTCAACAACTTTATTGCGTTGCCCCCTGCAGCCCTGACTTTGCTACCAACACTGCAATATGACTGTACCAGTGATTATAATGCTGGATAGAATATCACACCCGATATAAACTGCTGATACATATGTTACATGCAAGTGAAATTATTTGTACAGACAAAGCAAAAAGAATAAAACTCTTTTAAACTGGAAAGAACAAGATTTGAACTAGGAACATGCAACATGAAAACATTAAAAAGTGTGCAAGGAATAGGTGAAATAATCATAGAGCAGTCAGTCTGGCGCTGGTGGTTGCCAAGTTATTGGAACCCTTTCTGAGAGTCAGAATGTATTGTCGCTGAGAAAGGCACATATTAATCAGGGACAGTCAGCATGGTTTTCTAAGGGGAAGCTTGTGTCTTGCTAACATAATCAAATTTGTTGAGGAAGTAGCAAGGAGGGTGGATGAGGGAAGCATAGTGGATATTCTCTGCATGGATTTTAGTGAAGTATTTCACAAGATCCCGGATGGCAAACCTGTCGCGAAAGTAAAATCCCATGGGATACAAGCAAATATGACAAGTTGGAGCCAATATTTGGCTGAGTGACAGAAAACAAAGTGTAACATTACCAGTACAAAGTAGTTTCCAATGGCATTCCACAGGGCTCATTGATGCTGCGTATGTTGCTTACTGTATATGTTAATAACTTGGACTTAAATGTAGAAGGCATCATTGAGAAATGCGGAAATTGCACAAAAGAGTGACCTAAACTTGAAAGGGAAGAGGAAAGCTATCAACTCCAGAACTGTAACAATGGTTTGGTTAAGTGAGCAGAAAAATTGCAAATGCAATTAATTCTAGAGAAGTGTGAAGTAATGTTTTCTGGGAAGGCAAACAAACGTAGTGAGTATACAGTAAATAGGAGGATTTTGAGAGGGGAATAGATGAGTTGGGAAACCTCAAAATGCATGTCTGTAGATTCCTGATGGTGGCAGGATGGGTGGATAATGTGGTAAAGAAAATATATGGAATGCTTTCCTTTATTGGATGAAGTATAGAATGCAAGTGCAGAAGTGTAATGATGCAAGTGTATAAAACACTGGTCACCACAGTACAGAAAGGATATAATTGCTGTGAGGTGAGTACAGTGGAAGTTTACAAGAATGTTGCCACGGCTTGACAATTGTGGCTATCTGGAAAGATTGGATAAAAGAGTTGTTTTCCTAAAACAGAGACGTTTGAGGGGTGAAGTAATTTAAAATTATGGGGCACCTATATTTGGTAGACAGGAAATACCGTTTCCTGTATCTGAGAGGTCAATTATAAGAGGGCATTAAGATGATTGGTAGAAGGGTTAGAGAAGACATAAGTATCAGTGTGACAAATGCACATCCTCTTAACATCAAAGCAGGACAGCTCCTGAGCTGATTGACAGTGGATGATGCTCACTGGACTTTGTTTTTGAGAGCTGGGTTCTTATATAAAACCTGGGTTCAAATTCCACCAGCTCCAGCGGTATGCCATAACATGTCTGAATAAAACAATTAAACTGAGTTCTTTCTCTGGTGGGCACTATTTGGTGTTTTATTGGTTGAGTGATCAGATAACTTGGTGGTGGGTTATTAATGTTTTAAAAAATACATGGTTCTTGAGGGCCTCGTTGAGGTCAACTGCTGAGCCTAGCTAAAGTAGCCATCATTAGGTCCAGGCAGTGGGCTGTGGAAGGAGTTGCAATTCCTGCCTTTCTTCTGTGGCTACATCCTTGCCCGGGTGTCCTTGAAGGGAGAGCATGCAGTGTGCACCAGGAGTCTCGATTTTTTTCAGAGATAGGTGGCACCCTGAGAACTGAGGTACATTCTCTCCCCCAGTAACAACATATTGAATTACTCTCTCCCTTGTTTCAAGCACCAATCCTGCCTTTTATTTTTCGAATTGCTTCACTCCCTCTGATGTGCAGTGTATGTTAATTAGGTATTTTGTTAATTTAGAGGAGGGTCTATTTTACAGAAAAAAAGAGTTCTTTTACGTCCATTGTTGGCTGTTCCTAGAAAGGAAGTGCATGATGGCCACTGGTAGCGTCAGAAACTTTCAGGGTAGGTGGGCACCGCTGGCGCTGGGCGCATTATCTCGCCCACCAAAACCATTTCAGTTTTCTAGCCTCTCTTATTTTTCCCTCTTTCATTTTAAAAAGAACCGAGTTGGATTCTTCCCCTGTGGGGAATTGACTTCTGGACAGGGAAATGATCCAGAAAGGAACTGTGAAAACTGATGTTTGTGCTAAACCACAGACTTACAATGAAACCTTTGTTTATCTCTGAAAGTCATTTGTTGTCTAATTCAGCATACGGATATTGGTCTGTTAAATAAGGGAAAATGTTTGGACATCTGGAACTCATTGCCTAGTTTGGTGATGGAGACAAAAACCCTTATCTTATTTAAAAGGTGGATCTGCAGGTGAAGTGCTGGAACCTGGAATGTGGAACTAAAACAAACAGTTACTTTCTGTTTTGCTCTTTTTTCAGCCAGCACAGGTATGATGGGCTGAGAAGCCTCTTCCTGTGCCAAAACCTCTCCGTGTTAGCATGATTTCAATGTGAAACATGCAGTTAACATTTTTAACCAGTTTAAATTAAGAACAAATAACCCATAGTTTCCATTAGTGATTATCTTTCATCTTTCAGGGTCAGAAGTGGATAATTCTGAAAAAAGTGATTCCATATTTGCTCAGAAAAAAAAAAGCAGCCCTTTAAAGCAAAACCATACTATTAAATACTTGGATGTATCTAATCTGAGGGCAGTGCCCTCTCCCACATTAAGTATGGTGAAGAGCTGTATACCACATAATAACCCACTTCATTGAAATGTCTCTATACTCCTGTAATTTATGAAATCTCATAAACCTCCCCTAAAAATAGTTAAACCAATTTTCAGATTCAGATGCATATTATTTACTTATGATTAAACACAATCACAATATTTTTCAGCACAGAAGGAGATCATTCACTCAAACAGCCATGTGCCAGCTCTCCTGAAAACAGCTGATAGATTTAATCCAATCCTCTAGCCTTTTCCCATCCATCTATTTTCACGTATTTATCCACTTTCCTTTACATGCTTTTATTCTATCTCCACCATTGTCTTTTGTCCTAACTGTAGAATTTTAAAAAGTCTTCTAGTGCCTCATTTTAATATGTTAGTGATATTTTAAATTCAGATTGGTAAAAATAGTTTTTTTTATCTCTCGTTTAACTTATGATATTGTAAACATCAGTTAGATTCTGTTCCTTAACCTCTTTTTTCTCATGGAAAGAATCCCAGTTTCCTTAGACTCTCCTTGTAATTAAAATCTTTCACTTCTGGCATCAACATTTCAACCTCCTCCACTGCTTGACATTTTTCCTGGGCACAATATCCTAACCAATATTTGTATAAATTTAGCATTACCTCAGATTTTGTAAATTGAAAAGTTGTCTCCACAAATTTTCTAAACAAATCCCGCTCTTTGACTTCCATCTCTAATGAATACATAAGGTTAATCCTGCCAGGAATAACAAATTAATATGAAGCAGCATCAACAACAAATTTTAAAGCGTCATCAACTACTCAAGCTGCTTCAATTCCTGGAAAAGTCAACAACAGACGGAAGAAAAATTAACTGTCATTAGAATCAGCATTGGCTAACAGTAAGATCATCATAACAAAACATTTAATGCTGTTTGTAGTGAGGACTTTAGCAATGTAGCTTATGCAAACTCATGACATAATTTTTGGAGCATGCACCTACAAATACCACTGAAAAATTTTGCAAAGCATTTTCAATGCAAAGATAACCCTTTGAATCAAACTCCCATGACTCAAAGATCTCTGCTTAGACTACTAGCCTCCCATATCTTGGGAAAATGATTCTTTCAATGCTAATCAAAACTATTAGTTCTTCTTCCTTGGATAAATTTCATGTTGAATGGTACTTATAATTTACCCATGTGGATGCCATTTTCTTCTTCAGTTAAGAATGTTGTTAAGGATGGGAACACTATAAAACAAACAAAAAATGTACATTACAATTTGTCACAGAGGATCTAAATTAATTTTAATACATACATGTAATAAATATAAGCACAAAGTTCCACAGATTATGATGCTGGCACTTAAGCTGAGATCATGCCCTCTATTAGTGACTCTGAAGCAGTGTGCAGAGATAGGGCACATGGATCATTTGGGACCAGCAGCTACCATGTTACCAAGGTTACATCCTGGGTGCATCCCACCTTCCCCCACTTGGTTGGGGGCGTCAGTATTCAGGCAGTTATTAGGATCTTGTCCCAGAAGCATATAAAATTAGTTCCAAACAATCCCCTATATAAAATAATCCAGTAAGCACAAGAAAGTTGACTTCTGAAAACCACCAGGAGCAGAGGACATTTTTCTGGGCTGGTCTTGCAACACGGAAAAAAAAAAACTTGTCCTTTTTTGAATTCACTCATGGGATATGCGAGGTCAGCATTTATTTCTCATCCCTAATTGCCCAGAAAGCAGTTAAGAGTTAACCATATAGCTGTGGATTGGGTGTCACATGTAGGCCAGACCAGGTAAGGATCGGAGATTTCCTTCCTAAAGGGCATAATTAAACTAGATTATTTTATAGCAGTCGGCAGTGGTCATCATTAGGCTAACTTCCTTTCTTCTAGATTTTTTAAAAAATTGAATTCAAATTTTACCATCTGCCATACCATTCAAACCCACACTCCTTGAGGTTCTGGATTTCTATTCAAGTGATATAATCTTGTTCCCTGAGAGTTCAAAGACAGGCGATCTCCCAACATAAGGTGTCCCTGCCCTTCTATCCTTGTTACGATCAATGGAGAATTTGCATTTCACCTCACCTTGCAGATAATAGCAATGCAGTATTTTGTGAGGCATGTTTGGTTTCCTGCCAGTTTCCAAACCCTTCATTGCAATCTACCAGAATTGTGGTTGGGTGTACTGGAAGGGCTGTAGTTTTGAGGCCCTATGTAATTTTTTCACAGGAAAAAAAAATACAATTGTTACTTTTGTTTCCTGTAGTCCGAAAGTCCTAAATTTCCACTTGTGTTTTGTGTTTCACTTTTGCCTATCTATTCCCCAAGAGCTCCAAAGAAGAAAGCTTATGCACTTCATAGATTAGAGAAAAACAGTATTTGAATGGTCACAGACCTGCAAAGAATTAATTAACGTCTCAATATGGGTTTCTACAACTCAGTATTCATAAGTTGGGGTAGAAAGAGATAGAAAGGCAGCAACAATTCTCACCAATTCTTACCTGTTCTAGCCTCAAAATCCTGGATCCAACTTGAATCACAGTATATAACACACAGAAGATCATTCAACCATTTATATATGTGCCACCTCTTTAGAAGAAAGATCCAATAGCCTGATTCCCTTCCTCATCTCCCAAAGACTTGCATTTTTTCCTCTTCAAGTTTATATCCAATTTCAACCAATGCAATTCTACTTTCAACCTGACTTAGTAGGGACCAAGGATTGTCCTTGGCACAATTTTTCTCTCAAAACTTGATTATAGGTAGTTATGCCCAGTGCACCAGAGGGCATGGATTTCAATAACATTTAAATGTAGGTCTGCTTTTGCATGAGGGCTACACATATAACATTCCTGAAGGTCAATCTATACCAGTGTATCTCACCAAAGCTTGAATTAAAATACAAATTTCTTCAGTTAATTTTGTTAGATGTCATTCTTTTTCTTTAGTCAAACATCATTATGCCCTGGTTACTACTGGGACATGTTATTCCATGGTCAGGACATTCTTTCAACCAAGCAGCACTCAAAAGATTGAAATGATAACATCCTGTTCTTGGTGTAATTATAACAGAGTGCATAATGCAGTCAATCACAGACAAGCAACTAATAAGAGGCCAATCTGACAGTATAATCAACTACAGCCCAAACACAACATTATGTAAATTCAAGATAAAATTTCTCCGTCTCTCATTTTCGAGGGAAGGACTCATAAGAGGAAACATTAATTGCAAACATATTAAAATGAACTCATTATTGTGTGAGGTGACTGGATTTTTATGGCATTTCCAGACTTCAAAGCATTCATTCTAGCAGGTGTGTCATATATGAAACATAAAAATCTTAAGTATTGTTACAAAATAAGTGAAAGTACTCAAATAAAGCGCTTCATATTTCTGACCTTCTGAAAGCATGAACTTGCATTGATATAATAGTTCTGTGCAGAGCACTTATTGCTTTGAAGTACTACCATTATTGTTCTGTCAACAAACATGACTCATTCATTGGATGAAGAACTTATGAAGAAAGGTCGAACAGGTTGGAACTTTACACACTGGCGTTCAGAAGAATGAGTAGTGATATTGTTCAAACATGTAAGATCCCGAGGACACTTGACAGGATATATTTTGAGAGCATTATCGCTTTTAGGAGAAACAAGTACGAAGGGACACTGTTCAAAAATAACAGGCCTTGCATTTAAGAAGGAGATGACGATTATTTAAAAAGGAAATTGTTGTTAGTCTGTGAAATTCTCTTCCCAGAAAAAAAAGGGCAGGCTAGTTCATTTGAATTACTCCCATCTGAGTTTGATTTTTGATATTCAAGAGATTCAAAGGTAAAAAAGAAAGTGGATTTGAGACTACAACCAACTCAGCAATCTGTTTATTAAATTATTTAAAAGATGAAGAGCTGAAGGCATAGTCCTGCTTCTAAGTCCTATGTCCCTATACCCTATGTTCTGTTTTTCTTAACCTTACATTCTGGCTCCACCAAATGCACGTGCCCTATTTTTTATTCCTCATTAACAGACAACTTTCTAACCAAGTTACCTTAAAATTGGCATTCTGAAAATTCCTATTAAACTACATCTACCCTGTTCTTTTTATTTAAGTTGTGCTGAGATTATGAAAGGTGCAATATTCATTCAAATCTTTCTTTTAAAATTGCAGGTTTAATTTTAATCTATCGACAGAAATCTTTTTGGATATATCTGTAACCATGTTTTGGGAAGGCATTCACTTTATCTTCTACATATCTCATAGCTGAAAACTCCACTGCTAATCTGTCATCTTGTTTGTCAATATTTCTATACAATCAACTTGAACAACATTCCTTTTTATCTTTTTGAACTTTAACCTTTTTTCCAGTCAAGCATGCTAATCCTTGACTCATTATTGTGTATGTCTATTCTCACAATGAACATGTTGTATTCACTTTGTTATTCTACTCTCATATTAATGACTTGCTCGATTCATTACCAGAACAAAAATCATGCAATGCTTTTGTTATCGCTACAGTAACATACTGATTTCAGAAGCAAAAACAGATGCAATCAACAAATCATGATCACTTGCATACTGTAATTCCAATCGGTTTTGCAAAAGTTATTATTTCCACACATCTCTTCAAACTGAAACTTCCATCCCAATTTGTTTACTGAACTATAAAAATGCACAAAATTGAACATTAAACTTCCCCATCTCTAGCTACCATATGCATTCTGGCAGGTGATAATTCCCTAGATCATCTTTCCTTTCTAGTGTAATGATGGAATCCTTCATCAACACTGTGAAGCTACACTTTCCCCACTGACTGGTTTCCTGCACTGAGGAAGTGTAGTCAGTAAAGTAAAACATATTTAAAAGCTTTTGTTTTTACTTTTCTGTATTCAAATTATATTTTTCGACTAATGTCTAATGAATCATTTTTAATAAAAAATACATTTGAATATAAGTTAAAATATCAATCAATTTTCATAACTTGCTGACAAACATCTGCCTATCTTAGCCGATGTGTTCTATTGAATGGGATGCTGTGCATTGGGCTAGATTTTGCAGTTAGTAGTTAAAGGACAGTACTTGACATCAAAAAAAGTTTCTAACAAAGACCTAGAGATGCCTTTAGCTTGAATTTCCTTATTCCTGACATAAGTTTGACTCAGTCCCCACATCAAGAGTGTCTTCCCGCAGCAGAGATCTTAACAAGCGGGTAAAACATGACTAAGTAATTCACAGGCAGCAAGCCAGAAAATATAAACCACTGACATTCCTTACTTTTAATGTTAAAGGATACTGAAACGCATGATTTGGACATACACATAGGATTAAGGTAAAGCTAAATATAATAAAGAAACATTTCTTATAATTAAACTATTTTATATCATAATGAAAAAAAAAGAAATTTATCAAAACATCAGATTATTTTTGGAGAGCCAATGAGGCTGGTTAACACTAACTGTGGAATTGCTAGGCCATTAGAAGTCTGGCTACTCTCATTCAGCAAGGTGCAACTTTCTCAATTTGGTTTAACCCGCAAAACAAATGGCAAAACAGTAAAGTTACCAAAGATTCAATAACATTTCTAATGGATTGAAGGAACTTCTGGAGAAGTCTAGATTCATGGAATCAATTTGTGCATTTCTGTGATACTTACTCAGCGGATGTGGGAACTCCAGAAGTTGCTGTTAGATAAAAAAGAGGATTGCGACCAAGAAATATTTCAGAGCTTGGTGATTTAATCATATTTAAATTTTCAATACTCTCTTTGCATTTGTCAATAAAGAAATACTTTAAACATGTAATTTTATTGATTTTTGAAAAATATAGATATACATCTTAAACGCAGTGCAACAATTTTGATTTTATTTACCTTAACCTGTGTGTGACCCTTCCCTCTGTGTCGCAACAGAAAACAGAAGTGCAGTGCAACTAAAGTTTGATGTGAGCCCACTTTATATCCAGAATAACGAGGAGGAAGTGATGCTGATTGGACAGTACAGTATGTTTTTGTGGTTTGCACCAAGAACTACCGAATTGCCTGTTTTCACATTCAATTGCAGGTTTATTTCATAACCACACCAAAGAGGAGGATTCTGAACACAGCTGCAGTTCCAAAGGCTGCACAAAATCATTTTATTTAAAAGCTGTGATTCAGGCCACTAACAGAAATGGGAACCCTTTGATGAAATTCTGCCTACTGCGATAAAACTAAAAATAGAATAAAGCCTCGCCCAGAATACACCTTATCTATAACTGTGAAGCATGTACTGAAAGCGTTCTTTTAAAACAACGTATCACTGTTGTCCCTGACACATTGCTTTAAGACCACGAGCAGATTCTTCTCCTGTGAGCCATTAAATATTTTGCCTTTTTAACTTTCAAATCTTCGCATTGCAAGAATCAATGCGTTGACTGTGAAGAATACTCTCCCAATGAACCGTGTGTTCACTATAATACATTTAAAAATGCAGATTTTGGAGTATTTTACTTTATGTGTGAAATTTTAATGTGTAAAAAAGATGTACAGTTTTTCTTCTTTGGTATTAACTCTACCATTCCTTATAGCCTTAAGAGGGGTAGTAAAATTGTTTTTAAGTAAAGCCTGAAACAAATTTAGTTTAAAAAAGATGTGTAATTTGTTCTTTGAGGTATATCAAAGAAAATAGTCATTTGCTCCTATTTAGTGTCGAAGAAAGCACTGAGAATGTTTTAAAGGATTGAAATCCTTCAGCAAAACATTGGGGACACATGGATTGTGCATTTGCAAGTTATGTGTGGCATAGCTTTTGTTCTCTGTACAATGGTGCAGCTTCATCTGTGCGAAGAGGACAGCTCAAGGTTGTTCAAAGATGTAGAATAACCATTTGTAAATAAGGGACCATTGAAAGTGGGTGTACTGTGTCAGAGTTAGTTGCTTGGACATGATGAAGAACTAATCTGTGTGATTGCTCAGCTTCAGCAAGAAGCTTGTCACTAACTGAATCAGAGATAGTAGGAACTGCAGATGCTGGAGAATCCGAGACAACAAGGTGTAGGGCTGGATGAACACAGCAGGCCAAGCAGCATCTTAGGAGCAGAGAGGCTGACGTTTCGGGCCTAGACCCTTCATCAGAAAAGGGGGAGGGGAAGGGGATAGGGAAATAAATAGGGAGAGAGTGGGAGGCGGATAGAAGAGGGATAGAGGAGAGGATAGGTGCAGAGGAAACAAACAGGTCGAAGAGGCGGGGATGGAGCCAGTAAAGGTGAGTGTAGGTAGGGAGTTAGGAAGGGGATAGGTCAGTCCAGGGAGGACGGACAGGTCAAGGGGGCGGGATGAGGTTGGTCGGTAGGAGATGGAGGTGCGGCTTGAGGTGGGAGGAGGGGATAGGTGGGAGGAAGAACAGGTTAGGGAGGCAGGGACGAGCTGGACTGGTTTTGGGATGCGGTAGGGGGAGGGGAGATTTTGAAACTTGTGAAATCCACATTGATACCATTGGGCTGCAGGGTTCCCAAGCGGAATATGAGTTGCTGTTCCTGCAACCTTCGGGTGGCATCGTTGTGGCACTGCAGGAGGCCCAGGATGGACATGTCGTCTGAGGAATGGGAGGGGGAGTTGAAATGGTTCGCGACTGGGAGGTGCAGTTGTTTGTTGCGAACCGAACGTAGGTGTTTCCTCTCCACCTATCCTCTCCTCTATCCCTCTTCTATCCGCCTCCCACTCTCTCCCTATTTATTTCAAAACCCCCTTCCCCTCCCCCTTTTCTGATGAAGGGTCTAGGCCCGAAACGTCAGCCTCTCTGCTCCTATGATGCTGCTTGGCCTGCTGTGTTCATCCAGCCCTGCACCTTGTTGTCACTAACTGAGATGGGCTGGTTTATCCATGAAGATTTGCAGATGCAGTCAGCACTGGTACTGTTCCCCTCAATAATCATATCATAGGACAGCTTTTGGGGACCTTGCATGAGTCTGTTGATCTGTCAGCCTATGCTCGATTATAGGGCTAACTGTTGCCCTCTTTTATAAATTCAAAGCTACTACAAGTATCTTTGCAGTTATACTGATGCTAGTCACTTAATCAAGCAGGCTAAGTTGTCTCCACTGCCTGATACCCAGTGAATCAGTTCAGATTTCCATGTTTACAGCATGTGTACACCTTTAATCTCTCTCAAGGTAAACTGATTTAACATGGTGAAGATTGCTTTGAAACATAAACAAGTTTACTTCAGTTGATAAATCACACAAAGCAAAGAGGTTAATGAATCATTATACTCAATTGGTATAACTTCCGAAAATAAGAAAATACAAACGGGTTTTACAAATGTGCATTGTTTTGCCTCTGATAGGAACAATCTCCCATCTTGCATTGGAATCACCATTCATCTACTTAACAAGAAGCTCACAAAAAATGTTTTAAAAAGAGACCTTGAACACTGAAACCTTCTTTAATAATACAATCATTTAAATACAATTCAGAAAGAATGAATAGTGGATCAAGATATGAAGCAAGAGACAAAGTATATGATAATTGCGTTATGTAGTCCCCCGTGCCAACAAGTTCTGAACTTGAAGGCCTTTATTTTCTTTTTGAGAACTGAAGTAAGTTGCAGCAGAAGAAACTCTTCAGAGGAAGATTCCCTCTGTATGCTGTGCATAGCAATATTGTGAAGTTATTGGTAAAATTCAGATTATGATTTAATTACAGTAGAAAGAAACATTCCACTTTATTGGTTGAATGATAAAAGAATTGCAATATATATTCACTGTAACTGAATGTTATTGCCTTTTATATTTAATATGAAGTACATATTATGAGTGTGATATCAAAATTCATTTGATGTTGCATGAGTGTGCTGATTTATAACATATTTCCCATTTCTAGCATGTATTTTCCATGGATCCATATGTAATCTCGTTTTAAAATCTACTTTATCTATACAAGTAGAAACACTGTACATCTGCTGAGGCAACAATCTAGCTGCATGGGAGTCATCAGTCACTCCGCCCCTAATTGTCACTCTTGATCAAATACCTGCTCGATGACACTTGATGAAATTGCTGTGAGTTCAATTATTCTTCGATTCTGTACCTGTAATGGCCAAACCCTGGCACTAGCAATACCACTAAGAGCTAAATACTTGCTCCCGTACTCCTGCATGATAGAAAACTGTTCATGAGACCCACATATCCTGTTAGCAGTTACAGACTGTCTTAATCCTGCCCTCATTGCTGCTGCTGCACATTCTTCACACAAATTGAATTCAGCCATGTTTACTGGATGATAATTATCAGTAAAATTTTCTCCTGGTTTGGGTATCAATTGTATAGAGGCGATTTATAACATCTGAGAACACCTGCGTCCTGTGTTAATTAATAGGATCAAGCAACCCACACAACCTGTGGTCTGTAGATACTCATGTGTGATCATTTCATACCCATTCTCTCATTAAATCACTAATATCATTTATGTTTCACTCTGTGTTTGACCAGTCACATCAAAAAAATGCATTTGAATAGTGCCTTTAAAGTAAAACATCAACTTCTGAATATTGCATAGTGCTTCTATCTGAGCAATGCATACTGCTGATGTTTATATCTGCATTTGATGTAAGACTCCTTGGTTGCTGGTATTGCAGAAAAATAGGATGAATTTTGAATTCATTTTATTTCACAATTGGTAAGAACTGAGTTCATACATGTAAATCAGTTGCCCTGATAACATTGTGTCTTTATCTTTTTTGTGTGTTCGGAAATGTCTCTCTGCTCCTATGATGCTGCTTGGCCTGCTGTGTTCATCCAGCCCTGCACCTTGTTGTCTCGGATTCTCCAGCATCTGCAGTTCCTACTATCTCTGCTGCCACTCCTTCATTGTTTATGACCCCGGGTTCAATTGCTCTTGGGTGGTTTCCCAGATTTTATCAATGACTGACAATATTACTTGCATAAAACGCCAAAGTTTATACCTTCATTGCATCAGAGGGTAAGCATATGTATAACATGGTACATGAATCTTGCCTTGTCATTTTGTTTTTGTAATTGAAAGGTTTTACTAGACAATGCGCAGTTCCGTTTTGTGTATTTTAACAACTCAGTAAACAATTTAGATGAAAGATTCTGGCCTTTGTATGATTAACTGACAATTAACGCCATTGAGAAATGTTAAAGCAATTTCATTTTAGGTGAAGAACAAGCGAAAGGACTGGACTTGTTGGAAATTGGTAACATAATTAGAAACTGCTTTAAACACTGAAGATGTATACAGAAAACAGGTGAACTTAGTTGGGCTAATTAGTGTTTTAAATTCAGAAATCTCACTGGAGGAATTAGACCAGTATGTTGTATTTACAAATTTTAATGTGTGGGCCCTTTTCCCCCTTTCAGGTCTTGACTAGGGAAAACTGCTTCTTGTATGTACATCACAGAATTATTGAGTGTGAGATAAATATCTAGAGACCTTTGGAATCAATGTGTAACTTTGTATTCATGTTTTGTGTTAAGGAGAAGACTTGGATTGAATTTGTTTTGCTTAAGTTTGTTGTCAAGCCTCTTTTTTAAGGCTTTTTTTGAAGCTGTGAGGGTCAGTGAGTTTTCTTGCTGTATCTTATTAAACTCCCCTCATTAATAATCTACCCTATCCCTATGACATCTCTTGTGCCTGATATTTGCCCTATCTTACCATGCAGTGTTCCTGGACAACTTGCCACTCAGTGGAATTCTGCTGAAACACCAGCATTTCTTGCCTCCATTGCCATTTTTGAGTGGCTGCCATGCATCTGGACAAATATTGATAACTTGGCATTGCCCCTCACTAATAGAGAAATAGCACAGCAGAGGCAAAGCCACACTGCCTATGGTGAATGGCTGACACCTTCTCACAATTACATTCTCATTCTCTCACCCTAGATGCTGTTTAACCACCACACATTTCAACCCACTTT